CCCTATTTTTGAAGGCTCTCGGAGTCATTTATCATAACGAAACAATTGTATTGGAGAGAGATAGCGTTGGGAGTGCTTGATTCGTCCATCTGATATGTGTGCTATTGAAATATGCAGGTAAAAATGTGTGCATCTGAGAAGGTAGCCTTCTAAATGAAATAAGCATGCCAGCAAATGTTGGTTCCCTTTCATTCGTGCAAAAAATGTACTTAGGTCAGTCAATTGCAAACCACACATCTCTCAGCGACGCTTTTCATTTCTTTTGTCCATCTGCGTTCTTCTAGACAATAAATATTTCTTGTGTGCAAAAGTGTAAGGTGTTTGTAAAACAAAACGTGGAGCAACGAACGAATCGCTCTCAAATTCCACCCATAGACGCTTTTGCTGAAGGCTGTGTGCATGGTAAAAGTCAACATTGAGCAAAATAGGGTCCTGTGCTGGAGGACTCCCCATTTACTGGTCTTGTATTTATTTGTTTATTTATTTATTTATACATTGATCAAATTATTCGAAGCACGCGTTAGTGCGCTGGAACACCTCTATAGACCTTAGTTCAACAGAAAGGGAGAACTCAGCGCATAGAAAAGAGGAAAAGAAAGGCGATTATATTGTAGATTGAAGTTGAAGAAGTTTTTCAGAAGTTGAACAGTCTATGTAAGCATTTCTTGGCTACATCCAGTAATTGGTAAACGGGCGTTAGCAGCACGTCACTACTCGCTGAGAGAATGTACAGGGTGACCAATAAATATTGAAACGCATTTGTGGCTTCAATCCTGTGGTGTCTATAGTTTCCTTCCAAGGTTTGAAACTGCCACTTTCCATAACGTGAGTAATCTTGCTAAACTCACGAGTTACCCTATGGTCTACATATCATGGAGCTCCTTAAACTCAAAAGAGGATATATTCTCTCGTTCAGCTTGGTCGAATATGCGCTGATGAAGATCGGGTTCTCTCAAATTCAGAAAATTGAAAAATATTCCGCAGCCTACCGTGCACTGAAGAGAAGGTGAACAGAAGTAATTCCCATTGCGGACGCCCCGCAAGTCTGCCATTCTGAATTTCACGAAAGGCATGAAGAAGCGAACCGACTGCAATATCCGGGTAAGCTTGAGGGAGGTGGACAGTACGCTGAGGTTTCAAACGTAAAAAAAGTGTGACGCGCTAGCGCCAAGGGCCGGGACCGACGATAACGAGGAAACTGTTTTCATGGACAAAAAATTTCGTGAAGATGAGCTGCAATCTTCAAACTACGAGGATTCTCGCATGAGGCTCTGAGGAAGCCAATGGAGAGAATGGAATATCTCAACAAGCAGCAGTCCATCCCTGTCATGGTCTGGGCAGAGGCAACGAACGGTCGCACCACGACCTGACTGCCAAAAAGGGAACATTCTGTACCGAGCCCAACCAATTCATGTTTCAGTGTGCCACCTATTAATTAAGTAACTAGTCACGCAGCCGAGGAGCGATGATAATTTTTTAATTGGACGTAGCCTCCGCATAGGAGACGAAAATTGCTCAGTACTGATGTAATTTCCCATTCTCAATTTCATTCACATCCTCACGACGCTCTTCCATCACTTAATTCCGAGTGCTCGACCATATTGTGGGGACTGTACCGGTGAAAAAGCTCACCTCAAATACCTTCACACAGGAGTTGAAGCGATTTCTCGACGACACATTTCGTTCCAGAACACCTTTCAGTTTCATCTGCTCGAAATATATAGTGTTGTTGGGAAACTAACTTATGAGCAGGACTCACTGCTCGTATTCAGGGAATCTCTCACCTGCGAATGATGCTAACAAGGGAAGGATGGTAGGTCGAAGTGGCCGTTCGAAATGAAATGTATACCTACCTCAAATCTGCTAAACGACTCTCCGAACGGAGTTATGAAGCGTAATAGCTCAGTGGTGATGGTCCGGGGTGGCAGGTAAAAGCTCGTAGGATCGGTTCCTTTGCAAGTTTGTTGCTTTGCTTTTGTCTCTAGAAGTGTTGCGGACAAAAGCAAAGCAACAAACTTGCAAAGGAACCGATCCTACGAGCTTTTACCTGCCACCCCGGACCATCACCACTGAGCTATTACGCTTCATAACTCCGTTCGGAGAGTCGTTTAGCAGATTTGGAAGGCAGATTTGGAATCAGCGTCTGGAGACGCATCAGGTGGTATACATCTCATTTTATACGGCCACTTCGACCTACCATCCTTTCCTTGTAAGCATAGTTTAAATGGGATCCAACGAGACTAGTCGTTTAAGAGGGCAAAAAACGAAAAAGAACACACGATACAAAGTAGGAACTTAAGAAACATAATCACCGCCTTATCGCAGACCCCCTTTTGTTGATGGCAGTTCAATAGTATAAGAGATAATTGCTAGAGAAAAATTGCAGTTGTAAGAATATGTATTTGATGAATTACTCGGCTCATCAGACTATCAGGGTCAAACGCTTTGTTAGCGAGGAAACCCTACCGATTAGAAAAAAATCAAACGAGTTTCTCACTTGCTTTTTCACTTGCCTAACCCACCATTGCAAAGCTTCAGCATAGTCGTTAGTGTGTTGAAATGACAGAATAGAAAAAGTCATAGTGGAGAAGTCGACGAAAGCGAGTTCCGCTATGAAGCTTCTTCTACGATGCGTCGGAACACACCCGATACGGTGAATCCTGACGAAGCTCGTCGCTCCGTACGTGCCATCGTTCTGGCATTACACAACTTTTTCGTCTAAGCACACCGCACGTCGTTATGACTGAAACGGCTGCGTCTTCTGGTTACGCCTCTCACCTTATAAAAGCTCGACGCATGCCTTGTGAAGCGACCTACGATGGGCGACGACGACAAGTGCAACAAGGCGGCGTTGGCCGCCAGTCAGAAGCAATTCGCTTTCATCGGCATTGCTGTGTCCACGATTGCCACTCTGACCGCGATCATCGCCGTACCCATGCTTTGCATGCACATGCACAGTGTACACTCGGGTATTCAAGAAGAACTCGCTTTCTGCCGTTCCAAGAGCACCGGACTACAAGCCGAATTCATCAAGGTACGTTGTTGAAAGGTTGTCTGAAAGCAGCCATCCGAGTTTTAGGCAGTGAGTGTACTGGTTGGTCGAATAATGTGCACTTCGGGAATTTTTTTTGGAACGAACTAGTCAAAAAATGATCTCTAAGTTGTATGTTTTTTTTTCTGCCAACGAGGCTTTGATATGGACACTCGATTAATGACCCTAAGCTACTAACCACAACTGACCTTGAGTGGCGCTGTTCTGCTGATGCGCTGTTGTACCGGACCTTTGAGAAATACGGCCTCGTCGACATGGGGGGCCATTAATAAGGCTTCTACCCAGAAATCTCGTCAAAAGGAAAACATTATAATTACTAGTCAGAATGTTTTGATCAATTGTTTTTCTTCACAGCATTTTTTCTGAGTGTTCTTAAAAAGCCTGGAAACATACTTTTGCAAATCCAATTTTTCTGACCATCTGAATTTGAAAAAACTTCCTGGATCCACAGCGATAATGAACGAAGTGTAATCACAAGACTTCTCCTGAAAAAGCACGCGCAAGCAGCTCCACCCCTTCTCTTCCACGTCCACAAATTGCTTCTGTTAATCGGTAGAATGGAAGTTAGAATGCAAAAATGTAGAAGAAAAATGGAGTACCTGTCCTCTTCTGTTTCCTCATGAGATCATCTCAACTCCATTCCGTCACATGAAAATGAATCCAAAAGCCCTGCAACTTCTATGAGCCCCGACCAATATGAAACCACCACAAAATCGATCGGAAAGAAGGCCAGTGGCTCTGCAATGCCGGGCCCACAGAAGGGTTCATTAAGAAATGAGAGGAATGACTATGAGGTTAGAAAAGCGAGCGATACAGCGAATCCATAGCAAGGTAGTAAGGTGGTGTTCATTGGAAGCGGCAAGATAACCAGTTCTTCTGAATCGTTTACAAACAATGGAGCCGTCTAGGCCCCAGACTGAATCTCTAAAGTATTGCTCTCTTTTTTCAGTTGGAAGGTGTTCGCAGTCAAGCGCTGCGCGCCAAACGTCAGTATCCTGAACTATGCTGTTCATGCGGCATCGGTGAAAATGGACCTGTTGGACCACCGGGAGAAGACGGAGAACCAGGTGAGGACGGCCACCCTGGAAATCCCGGTCCTCCAGGTGAAGACGCCCCAAAACACAACGCTATTCCTAAACGAGAAGACTACTGCTTTGAATGCATGCCCTCGGCAGCTGGACCTCCTGGTGTCCCTGGACCGATGGGACCACCAGGGCCGCAAGGAAGCGTTGGAGAGGTAGGCCTGAGCGACTTCCCATTACCTTCTAATTTTGAACTTTATTTTAGTGCGATTTGAATTTCAATTCTCTCTTTAAGACTGGAGCACCTGGACCGGCTGGTCATCAAGGACCACCAGGACCACGCGGTCCTCCCGGAAAGGATGGTGAGGAGGGCGAGGCAGGTGCACCTGGACAAGCGGGAACGGTACGAACTCTACCTTCACCACAAGGAGAAACGGGTGAGATGGGCGAGATGGGACCACCAGGTCCACCAGGCCCAGAAGGCCGTCCTGGAATTAACGGACGTCCAGGACAACCAGGAGAGCAAGGCGACCCTGGAGCAGATGCTGCAAACGGAAAAGATGGTGAGCCTGGCCCGCGCGGTCCACCAGGACAAGATGGTCTGAAAGGGTCTTGTGACCACTGCGCTCCTCCACGTACTCCGCCGGGCTACTAATCAATAAAAAATAAAAAAATAAAACAAATAGCAACCTACGGATCCTCATTCTTCTCAGCGGAGACATAGACATTGTGATGAGCGGTTTTTTGTTTCAATCAACCAAGAGGTATCGGTTGTCTTTTGCCGGATTCCTGCCCTCGTAAATGTGAGTGCTGCTGTGCTGTGCTGTTGTTGTTAAAATGAAAGTGCTTCGAATAAATGTTTATAAGTAAGAGATTGACTTTCATAGTGTTGCAGTGGCGCTTCTCAATAGCCAAGACGTCCTCCCTTGTTCAGAGACATCAAATTTCTTGACATAAAATCAACGGATCTATTTTTCATTTTTGAATGTGGTCACCTGAGATACGAAGATAACAAGCATATGTATGACTACTTCGAAGTTTTGTGGGAATGCAAGCGGGGAAGTGACATCTGCTATATAGCCTTCGTAACCTGCTTTCAAGCTTGAGATGCCTACAAAAAGTTATAATACATTCCTTCACTCTCGAACATCAACAGCCATTCATCAGTGTTCACGAGAGTAGTTAATCTTCGGCAGATAATTTCTCTACGCTCCAATGTTCAGGTATCTGTCCTTGGAAAAGATTTTTTGCTCTTATCGGCACGAATCATTCAAGCAAAGAAATCAGAGATGTGAGAGGTTGTTCGCGAAACCAGAAGCGAGTCTCATCGTAAGCGAGAAGCAGCAATTTCCAATTAAAAACACAGATCACGATCAGTAATTCTCTTCATGGGCAAGGAAGCAGAGTCCATGATCATTGAAGTGGTTGCACCGTAACAACCCGAAAGTGAGCCACAAGGGTGTTAATGCTTGCCTTAACCGCTGCGACTGCTGCCATTTCTACTCGTTCGTAACATACGAGGTGTCTGCGCTCTCTAGGACAATGTGCTCTTTCGCGTTTGTTTTTTCTCCGCCACGCTACGTCCCTCCCTCGTACTATTGACTTCTTCACAAGAAATGGAGGTCTTGAATTAGAATGGTTTCTTCGATTCCTTCAGCTATTGGTCAATGACGATCCTCTTGATAACTCTTGTTAATTGAGCAGAATACAAAAACTTACTTGATCGCCATCCGACCCTTCATTGCTTGCTAAAATACGAATTAAATATAAGGAATGCTGCACTCACCAGGAAGGTCTTTCAGGGCGTGCCAAGCTTTTTGAAAACGGTCTTTTGCATGATATAGGGGCACATGCGGGAACCACAGAACCATGTTTAATTTTTCCTGAACGGCCCTCTGCCAGAAAAGGGGTCCCTAGTTCGATTCCTCGTGGTGACAAATTTTTGCATTTCGAGTTGACGTTTCAAAATTCGCGCAAAATGGAGTTAGCATGAATAATTAGTACCATATTCATGATTAGGACCGTCAGTAACCCTTACAAATAGACTTTGATTAAAAAACTGGTGAAAAGGTGTGACACCACAGTGGGGCCGTTTTGGTGTCACACCTTTTTCACCAGTTTTTTAATCAAAGTCTTTTTGTAAGGGTTACTGACGGTCCTAATCATGAATATGGTACTAATTATTCATGCTAACTCCATTTTGCGCGAATTTTGAAACGTCAACTCGAAATGCAAAAATTTGTCACCACGAGGAATCGAACTAGGGACCCCTTTTCTGGTATTCAGAGGGCCGTTCAGGAAAAATTAACCATGGTTCTGTGGTTCCCGCATGTGCCCCTATATCATGCAAAAGACCGTTTTCAAAAAGCTTGGCACGCCCTGAAAGACCTTCCTGGTCTGCTGAAGTTCCGCTCAGGCTGATCAAGGTAGCCTTTTACAGCGTGGAGCGCTTTTTCAAGAACAGCCTTTGCATGTAATATTGCACGCGCTTGGAGCATAAACTATTATATGATCGTTTTTTCTGAGCGGCTTTGATGCCAAAAAAATATATAGGATTAATGACGTGTTCCATCCTCCCTGCAAACATTTCTGTGATTTCCACCTTCTTGGGCTCGTACCTGTCTAAACTTATTCAATGAAGAAAAACCTTCTAATATGCAATTATTCATTGCTACAAAGGCAATAGTGTACATTGAAATGTAGAAGTTTCATTTCCTGAAAGAAGTTTTCTGCTCTTTTCTGCCAGTCCCAGGGCCGTTCAGAAAAAATATCACTTTCATGCTACACGCGCATGCCCCTACATTATGCAGAAAAAAAGTTTTAAAACGTCCTGAACGACTTCCCTGATGAGAGCGCTGTCAAGTTGTGGTAGTAACAATCAAGGTTAATTGGCAAATGTATATACAGGGGGGGGCCAATAAAAAAAAGACATTTTGTCTCCGCGTTCTGATGGATTTAAACACATTTTGCCTAATTCAAACCGAATCGACCCAACTTGGTATTGAAGAGCACATTTCATTTTATAAGAAAATCTTCATAGTGACCTCCTACATGGGTGGCATCAGAAAAATTTGCCTCAAAAACATCGTGCGCTGGTCGAGCTCAATGGGGTCTTCGAAGGATCGTGTACCATAACGACCTTCCTGGAAGCGGGTTCCAAGGGGGTTTGCATAGTGGGAGCTAAGGTCTCTAGAAAACTATCCAACATTGAATCGATTCACGAAATTGCGTAAGAGCTTCAGGCTGAAGCAGTTACGTAGGCCTCCTTGAGCTTGACGACGGTGACAGATGACGTCATATTCTGAAGACGGTGAGGGCAGTGAAGGAGGGCCTGCGTGTACTTATAGAGGGACATTTAGGGAATATTTTGCTGAGGAACTTCCGTCAACGACGGCAATCTCTGCGAAGAAAAAAGGCCGAAGTGCGACATGGGCAAAATGTCTTTTTTTTTTGGCCCCCCCTGTATAGTGTCCTATGTACCTACGCGGACAGTCATCGACCGATCAGTCCTGAAAAGACCGGAAATGGCTTCTTGATCGCTTCCTACAAGGATCTTGAAATTGCGCAGCTATTCACAAAAAAAATGAAACAGATAAACCCGCAAATGATGCTTTGCACGACGTCCATGCATGCAGTTATAGGATTCCTGTGGTCGCTGAGACCCAAACATTATTACAAGAGTACCAGTCATCGAGAGAAGTGGAAAAAGTCTAGAAATCGTGAGAAACGATGAAAATTATTCGTTCTCTCTGCAAACAAATTGGTGAAGGTAACGCGCATGACCACAGAAAGCGCCTATACAGTGTGTTTCATAACTACAAGGTCACCCTAAAATATTGCATTTCGGGAATTGTAGCAGACTGGTAATTTTTCTAGTATCACCAGCTGATTCCTCGCTGTAAAAAACCCTTGACCGCAATTCTGGCCAGAGCAGCTTCTCTTCTAACTTTTTATAATAATTTTGATTTTGCAGACGCGTTGCATAATTCATATGGTCACTTGAGAAAAGAGACAATCAACTCAGATTAATGGGAGATGAACCTAATAATCTAATGTTCTTCTCATCCAGGGCATCACCGAATAGCCTCCGTAGCCTACTGGCGTTTGAGATTCCAAAGCAGATGACCATCGATTTACTTTCGTGCTTCACGGATGCTTTCTTAATCTCTTTTGAAGTTCCTTGGCGTTTATCCGCATAATTCTTCATGACGAAGATGCATCCGAGATATTGTACTAAAATACGACTGGAACAGAATAAGAATAATAGAATATCAGAATAATCTGTTCAGTTCATCAGGGTTTCGAGAGAAATGCTGCTTCTGGTTGAATGACCTACATGGGTACCTGTGCTGTTCTGTATGACTACGTAGGCTAGCCGACTTCATCAGCTCAAGGAGAGGTCAGATGTCCTTGCAAGGATGTATTCTGATCCCTGGAGTCAATTATGTAGTTTGTATTATGTAGCAGTCAATTATGTAGTTTAGATTATTTTGACACAACATCGTTTGTTCGACACCTTTGACATTTCTTTCACTAAAATTGCAAGCGCTGAAATGAATTGGCCACTGCAATGGTGCTTATAGCTGCAGGATCTGTCTGTTTGAACCAGTTTTGTCGAAAAATACCAACCTTACTGAAATTATCTTGCTGTGTGGTGCGATTGTGGCGCAGGCTCAACTTTGTTCAATCTCTCTCTAAGTTCAACTTTACGGGTTGAAGTTGTGCTTCCTCGTAATGGCCAGTGAGCCTTCGGACCATCTTTGTCGCTTTCCTGACAATGTTGCTGCATCTTTTCACCGCTCTCCAGTTCATATTTTTCAAGATAGAAACATTAAATTACGCGCGACGCTGATTTCAAGAGGAAATACTGTTTGGGACAGCCCTCATAACTCTTCTCTAATCATTTATAGAAACCTTTTGTGGATGTTCGGAGCTTGTAGAATATCTGGAGACGTAGGAGCTTTTCAATTATCCATGAAGAGAATTTCCGAAGTGCTTTGGAAAGACTCGCGAACCGTGCCAAGCACCATGAAATGCATAAACTTTACCTTTTCTTCAAAAGACGAACGAAACATTCCATAAATTTAGCTACTGGGTGTGTTTGTAACAAACATTCAATTTCACAGGCAGGTTGGTTGTTTCTGATAATGTAGTATTCATTTTCACAGGGTGACCTTATATTATGAAACGGTGCAAAAACCAAAAATAATTACAAAAAAGTTCGAAGAAAAGCTGCTCCCACGCACGACTACTTGCGATCGTCAGGTTTCTTAACTAATGAGGGACATCTAGTAATATAGAAAAATTCACACATGCAGGCTGCGTCTCCAGAACTGGCGAAAACTTTGAGGGTGACCTTCGGATAAGATAGGAAAGGCCAGTGTAGCACTCTTTAGGGCCATGGCATCTCAAGCCCGACGGGGTGATGATAGTGGCGCTATGGCGACAGTGAGGAGTTTGTCGCCGTTTGGAAATTGCTGACCATGGTATAATTGTGAAAATGAAAAATAATCTTGTGCTGACGGAGGGTGTGTGTTTTTGTTGTTGGTTGGTTCATTACTACAGTGCGTTTCAAAAGTATGTGCACACCCTCAAAATTCACGTTTGAAAGGGAACCATGAGGTTTCGTGCTATGAAATCCTTCTCAATCGATTT